CTGTTAACTGTTCAGGATGTGCTGTATGAATCAGAATCAGAAACAGCTTTATTGTTAAGTAGGTTTTTATATACAAGGAATTTATCTTGTTGTTTTGATGCATAATAAATATAGCTAAAAAAATATACAATAAAATATGAATAAGTTATTTAAATAAAAAAGCTGTATAATTTTTTGAAGGCAAGTATTAACCAGGGCACAATTGACAGTACAAGGCAGAAAGAATATCTGTAGGAAGAATAAAATAAATTTTAAAGCTGCAGTAGTAACCTACGAAAATAACAGGTTCCCTCTGGCTCGTCCTCGTGCTCCTAAAGGCATTTGCAAAAATCCACACCAGGGCCTGAATGAAAATAACCAGTCAGAGCCAAGAAAAATAATTAAAAAAAAGAAGATCTGACGATAGTTGATTGCTGAGTCTCATTCCCAGCGGTATTTGACAACCTGGGAATTCAGGCCCACTGGATTCCTTCAAATGCCATTAAGAGCAGTAGGAGGAGCCAAAAGAACCTGAACCTTTCACAAATTATCTGCCTCATGTTCTACTGTCAGGATAAAATGAAAGTTCGAGCAAATCTTTACGTATTAGTGTTGGCAAGTTTAGGCATGGTTTTTGTATAAGTTGTTATTAGTGTTAAATCTAGTTATTTTTATTTATATAGCCCAATCTCATAAATCACAATTTGCCCAAAATGGGCATTAAAATATATCACATAGTATACCCAGTATACACTTTCAATGCTTTGATCCTCGATTTGAGTAAAGAAAAACTTTGTTGAAAAAGAAGGAAAAAAGGAAGAAATGAGCACTTACGAGGTTTATCAGACATTTTAGCTGCTTAGTAGAGAACCGACAGCAGGTAGGTTTCACTGGAGTCTCCGGATTAGCTTTGAAGTCTTTCTGACTGACTCATACTCATATACACACACTGCTGCATGTGATCCACCCTGTGGGCGGAGTGCTAAGAACTGCCTCACACAAAAACAATAGTGTTCAGTTTGTACTACACTAAGTCAAAGACAGAGAGAGATGGGGAACCGCTGCTCAATTCCTGAAGGTGAAGTTGGAACCTTTTCAGCATATTGCAGTCAACACTTGTACTAATTATGTCAAGGTTTTGTTTTTAATTTTTGTTTTTACAGGTGCTTCATTGAGAATTGTGATGATTGGGAAGACTGGAGTTGGGAAGAGTGCGGCCGGTAACACCATCGTCGGTAAAAAGGTTTTCACGTCTTTAGCGAGTGCGCACTCTGTGACAGTGACCTGCGAGAAAGAACAAGTCAACTGTCGCAGAATGATCGACGTGGTTGATACGCCTGGGATTTTGGATACAACTAAAAGTGCAGAGAGCATAAGGACAGAGATTGCAAAATGCATCCAGTTGTCCTCTCCCGGCCCTCACGCCTTCCTGCTGGTCATCCAGATTGGCAGGTTCACCAAAGAAGAAGAAAACTGCGTCCAAGCCCTGGAGAAAATCTTTGGACCTGAGGCTTCTAAGTACATGATCGTTCTGTTCACGCGTGGA